ATTCAAAACAAAAATGTGTTTATTTTACTTGTCTGTTGAAAAAATTAAAAAAAGAAACCTTATCATCGACAAATTATTTATAAGTGTTAATCGTTATCATTTGTTTTTTACACACAAATTGAGAATATGAGTGTAAAATGCCACAAGAAAAAGCAGGCATCTGTATAGATTGGCGTCAATGTGCAGTTCTTTACAATCTGCTCACAAAAACAAATTTAACATTTTCGGAACGAATACAACTAAAGCTTAGTCAATGTGCCTACAAGAATGAATTCCCTTGGGTAATTTGAAATTACTAATTTCGATTGACATTTGTTAGAAATGATGAGGTTTTTGTTTAAACTGTTTCACATTTTGATTAGGTTTGTTGCCCTTTTGACCCGAATCCGCCAGATAAATTACCAAAATCTGGCTGTTGTGGAAATCAACTGGACGTTTATCACTGATTTCACATGGTTTTTTTAAATTTGAATTTGATGTTTTTACTTTTTCTTGTAGCAAATGTATAAAAAAGCTATCGTTGTGGTGGTGTCCTTATCAATGATAACTATGTTTTAACAGGTATAAAATAAGTAATGATATAGAGACCATATAGCGTTTAAATTTGGCAATCTATATTGTTCAAAAGTGTTCGCATTCAAAAAAGCTACCATTTAGTCGATTCAAGCGAGCACAATCAGTGGCTAATGTCAAAATTATTCGAAAAACATGACCAGAAATGGAGATAAGAGGTGAATAATCAAAACAATAATTTTCTATTTCAAATTCAAAGCATCTCATTGTGTGAATGCAGAATTATCAGGTTTGAAAAGTCGAAATACTTTCTCTGAAGTACTCGTTCAACTAAAGTATATTATTATTTTCTGACATGAAAAGGCGTTAGGCTTGGTGAGTGGAATCTAAGAGAACATACATATGGATTGCGAAGAGAACGTGTGCTCTGGTCCTTTTCAAGATATTCGTGTGATAGAACGAATTCGTCATGAAGACTATAATCCAAATTAAATGGTCAATGACATAGCTCTCCTGCGTTTGGAAAGACCGGCTCCGTATACGAGGGCGACTATTTAAGTTTCTTCAATATGTATGTTTTAGTATTGCCCGATGCAAACCATTGTCATATTCGTAAAGTTGGACATTTTTCATGACCATTTGACTTAACAGGACGAATTTTAGTTTTGTGGTATGGCCACGGTGTCAGTTGGAAAAGGTCAACTTCGCAAAAAAATGAAATTTACAAAAAAGATTATTTCTCATAAGTTTTCAAAAAGAGCTGTCTGCTCAACAGTATTACTTCCGACTCAAGTCGGGGTATGGGAAGGAAGTACCATGCCTTGCCACTGTATACAACTGGTTCACTGAATCCCATCGTCATGGTGCTCGCTACAGTGATCAATTGCACGATGGTCCTTCGAAAATTGATGTCATCGAGAAAAACTCTGGTGCCGATTGAGTTAGGATCGAAGTTTCTTTTACAGTTAAATTGTGGTATGCCCAAGGATCACAGAGACTCCAATCATTTGGTTCTTCCATGAATTACAACATGAAAAAAATAAATCTTTACGTGTCAACCCACAGTTGCTCAAAAATCGATTGATTTTAATCACATCCAAAAAATCATAACCAATTTGACATAGGATAATAAAAACACGTCTATACGATCGCAATAGAAGCCAAGACATGATTCCAGTAGTTTGGACCTGAAACAAAAACTTGGTTGACTCTCTGAGTCTTCAAACATGAACACAATCGAACAAAAGTTGTTCGTTTGTGAAGTGATAGGGAAAATCGGACCTCATTATTTTACAGTGTTATGTGTCATGTTGCTACCATGCCTTTAGAGGATGAAAGGTCCTTCAATGCTGAATAGTACACAACCATTTGATTGTCAAAAGTCATCACGGGAATATGGAGACCAAAACTCTGAAACTTATAATCCCAAAACATGGCAAAAAGAAGCCCATCAAACAGTCGACTATTTGACCACCCAAAAGATCGAATTGATGCACAATACTCCGTGTACGAATTATTCGGGACCCCTCTGTCCACCAGAGATCAAAATCAGTTGGATACAATATATTTTTCGTACTTGAAATTAGGTGCATATTCAAAAAAGTGCACTTTTTGGAGTGTCATGTTTAAGCTGCTGTCGTAGCCATACCACAAAACTAAAATTCGTCCTGTTAAGTCAAATGGTCATGAAAAATGTCCAACTTCACGAATATGACAATGCTTTGCATCGGGCAATACTAAAACATACATATTGAAGAAACTTAAATAGTCGCCTACGTACATCGTGGATCCAACCCATTTGTCTGCCCACTTCAAGCGATGGTCCCAAGGAAAATGTCAACGGATTTCCAAATGTGGTGTCAGGCTGGGCCAGAGCGGGCTGGGAAGTACCTGAAGTAGTATCAAGCTAAG